TTGCAAATGGACACACATCCCACTCCCCATTTATTGAATGGGATCGGTTTAATAGGTTAGTGGACAATCATCCCACTAACCTATTATAGCGATCCCATTCAATAAATTGCAAATGGACACACATCCCACTCCCAATTTATTGAATGGTCCATATGGGTGAAGGCCACTGTCGTAATCCTGGGGTGGGATGTCCGTGCGCCACCCTGTGGGGAAAGGCTGAACTGCTTTTGGGGGTCAAAAACGTCGGCGGGCTCCCGTCGGGCCCCTGGTGGGGTCAGGGACCCCGAAGTCAACCAGGGCGCCGGCAGCCCACCCGCCAAAAATTTTGGGGGGGGCGGCGCGCATGGTACACGGACACACGTACGCGAGCCATCGAACGTATGACAGAGTGTACCCGGTCCAAAAGTTATGGACTACCGGGAGGAAGCACACAGAGAGGAAGGAATCCACGATAGAGTCTTTAATTATCAAAACAAGAACAAAACACTTGGAAACAGAGGGAGACAACAACCACGATGTAATTTAACCCAAGACAAGGGAACTGAGGAAAACACAGATAAACACATGGAACGTAATCAGGGAGAACAGAAACAGGTGAGGAGTAATCAATCAAAACAGATTAACAGAATAAACAATGATTAACTAAATGAGAACAGGAACTGAATCAAATAGGGGCAAACAGGAACTAAACAGAAACAAACATGTGACAGATATCGTCCCCCTCCGAAAGGCGCGACCTCGCGCCACATAACATCGAGGGGTGGGCACCTTGGAGGTCCCACAGGACAGGCTTGGACCGGACGCCTCCAAGGCGGTACCGGATCCAGGTCCCATGGTGGAGCGGGCAGCTCAGGATGCCATGGCGGAGCAGACAGTTCAGGTTGCCATGGCGGAGCAGACAATTCAGATTGCCATGGCGGAGCTGGTAGCTCAGGAGGCCATGGCGGATCCTCCGTGGCCTTACCCGGCTCGGCCACGGGTATATGGCCCCCCCCCCAAAAAAAAATTTCTTGGGGAAAACTAGGAATCGTGGGGGACGCTCTGGAGGAGCGGGAACTTGAGGGCGCTCTGGACGGGATTCAGGGACTGGAGCCCTCCTTGGGCTAAACATGGGAACAGGAGCCCTCCTTGGCTATACTTGGGAACTGGAGCCCTCCGTGGGCTATACTCGGGAACCGGAGCCCTCCGTGGGCTATACTCGGGAACAAGAGCCCTCCGTGGGCTCGGGAACTGGAGCCCTCTGTGGGCTATACTCGGGAACATGAGCCCACTCTGGGCTGGATTCGGGGACTGGGAAGCGCTTACGAGGAGCTGGCACTGGAGGGTGCTCTGGAGGAGCAGGCACAGCAAGGCGCTTTCGAGGAGCTGGCACTGGAGGGTGCTCTGGAGAAGCAGGCACAGCGAGCGCTCTGGACTGGATTCAGGGACAGGGGCCCTCACTGGGCCAGGGGCCCTCCGTGGGCCAAACTCGGGGACCAGGGCTGGAAGTGAGAACTGCAGCCCTATCTTGACGCTGGTCTGGGTTCTAGAGCCATCTCTCGACTCTGGTCAGAGAATAGAGCGGATACTGGAGCGAACTCAGGGGCTGGAGCCAACACTGGAGCGGACTCAGGGGCTGGAGTCGACACTGGAGCGAGCTCTGGGGCTGGAGCCGACACTGGAGCGAGCCTAGGGACCAGAACCAACCGCCTTCTCCTCCTCAGATTCCCCTCTAGGCTCGGGGTGAAAGGTCCGGCTGGCGGGCTTGCCGTTGCGGTGACCGGCGGGCTTGGGTCAATGGCATCCGGCGGGCTTGACTTTGTAGCGGCCGGCGGGCTCGTCTTCGGTGTGGCGAAACGTGCGCCGGTTTCCATGCCGCGGGGGAAAATATGGGAAAACAAACACTATTCAAAAAAGGCGGAAAACAAACACGGGGGAAAAGACGTCGCTTACTTTCAGTTTTTGTGGGTCTTGCGTTCTGTCGTGGTGCGTAGGAAGCACACAGAGAGGAAGGAATCCACGATAGAGTCTTTAATTATCAAAACAAGAACAAAACACTTGGAAACAGAGGGAGACAACATCCACGATGTAACTTTAACGCAAGACAAGGTAACTGAGGAAATCACAGGACTTATAAACACATGGAACGTAATCAGGTAGAACAGAAACAGTTGAGGAGTAATCAATCAAAACAGATTAACAGAATAAACAATGATTTACTAAATGAGAACAGGAACTGAACCAAATAGGGGCAAACAGGAATTAAACAGAAACAAACATGTGACATACATATTCTTTCTTTATTTAAAAACTGTTGCTTTAATTATCTTAAACAAAACTGAAAATCATAAAGAAGACCTTTGACTCAAAATATATGCATTAATTTTAGCAATTCTCATTTGCTACTTAAATCTACAACATTTTAAAAAACATCCATCATTAGATCAAGTAAGCACAGAATCAACTTTGCACTGCTGCGCGCGATCGTGTCAAAGATCAGACAAATAAACACGTGCATCTTGAAAAGCGGATGTTTTAGAAAGTGCTATGCCACGTTTTTTGTGCCATCTAGTGGTTTAGATGAAAATAATATCAAAGGCGCCTTTTACTCTGGAGTGCCTTTTGCCCCGTTGTACCCTATATGTCAACATATTGCCTAATACAAGAAGCATATTTTCACAATTTACAATCACTAAAAAAGATTAATTGTTCTGTATATACAAATTATAGGATATAAGGACTATTATCACATTAAAGTAAGTTGTTCTTATTCCTACAGTATTATTATAAGATCTCATTTGTTATACTGTCCCTTTATTAGGCTACAAAATAGGTTTATCATTGTATTTTACAATTGAAAGTTTATATTAGAGAAAATATTTTTGTCTCTCTCTCACACACACACACACACACACACACACACACACACACAAACACACACACACACACACACACACATATTTTCTATCCCCTTGCACTAACCCTACACCTAAACCTACCCCTCACACAAAACTACAGTTATTTTAGATTCTCAAAACACAAAACTACATTTATTTTAGGTTTTCAAAACATTTTATTCTGTACAATTTGGTGTATAAGCTTTTTTTCCTCATGGGAACCAAATAAATGTCCCCACAAGATCAAAGTTTACTGTTATTACTATACCTGTGGGAACATTTGGACCCCATAACGCAGGAAATACCAGTACACACAACAAAACTACAGTTATTTTAGATTTTCAAAACACAAAACTACATTTATTTTAGGTTTTCAAAACATTTTATTCTGTACAATTTGGTGTATAAGCTTTTTTTCCTCATGGGAACCAAATAAATGTCCCCACAAGATCAAAGTTTACTGTTATTACTATACCTGTGGGAACATTTGGACCCCATAACGCAGGAAATACCAGTACACACACACACACACACACACACACACACAGCACGCAGGCACGAACACATTGTAATGGCAAAGACAAGATAATTTATTAGTTTCTACCTAATCAACAAAGCTGAGTTCTAACACTTAATTTTTTCTTCCTTCCTTTATGTCCTTTCTCCACCTCTCCTTCTTTTTATTGAGGTATATCTGCCTTCTTTCAGGGTGTGCATCACAGCGAGCCCTGTAGCATCACTGCTTTTTTGCAGCAGACAACAGTGCTATTTCCTTACAAATACATGCATACTACTTAAGCAACTCTTTCTTTTAAATGCATAATAAATTAATCATAAGTACCAATACATGCTTTAAATACTTAAGTAATTTTTACATCAAATGTTACAATATGTCCTGCGTAACAGGAGGGACATTTTATGCTAAAATCAGATCACATGCTAATCATGTGATGAACAAGCTAGTGCGTAGTGTTTATTGAAGAAGATTTTTAACCTGTTAATTAAACATATTTTCAAAATTACAAAAAAATGATCAGTTTCCACTAGAGATAAGCGTAACAGCGTGGATATGTTATGCTTTACCACATCAGTGAATCATTCTAAAACACTAAAAAAAGGGTGAATTAAAGAGTGTTACTGACTCAGCTTCTTGTAAATAGTTCAAAAAGTCGTATACTCAAAAAGTGTTTTACTCCCGGAGAGTCATGTTATTAGAGAAACATTCAAGGGCCATGTTCATAAGGACTTTTCATCAGAGTAACAGGGGGGACATTCAATTCAGGGACACAACATGTTTTAAATACTTAAGCATTAAAAATGTATAAATAACAAAACAAATTTTTGTTGAGGAATATTATAAATAAGAATATACAACAATATTGAAAATTTTGGAATTTGTTTGATTTTTATTACTTATATTTGTGGCTGAAGTTATGAAAGCTAACTTGGGGACATGGCAGTTTAGCCTTCTTGCACTAAAATCGGAGCAATTATTTTTATTATTTATTAATTTTGGGTACATATTTGTGTTCTATGTAGAGGGTCAGTAAATTTGTAAGCTGAGCATTTAGAAACAAGTATTAGCAAATGTTTACAGAAAATATACCACATTATATCATGGGGACTCAAATGGCACTGAATGCTAGGAATGACCCGTTCAGGTTATCACAAGAGCTTAGTTATGCGCCCAACACAATGAACATGGAATTGTGAATTTGTATGCAAAACTTTATTTGATAATAAAAATAGCATTCACAGACTTCTTTTTGATAGCTACATATACATTGTGATCCATCCAAACAAGAAGAAAAGCTTTACTGTGTAAGTCCACGTCTACTTGAACTTAGACTAATGTTATGTGTAATTTCATGAGTCAAATAACGCTATGGACAATGCAGAATTTATATATTTATATATATGCATAGTTTCATAAAAAAAATTAAAAAAAACTAGACCATAAACATTTACTGCTTTTATCGACACAGAAAAAAAGCATTTAAAATCCACAGAACTTTTCAGAGACCACAGACAGTATACAAGATCTCCAGAAAAAAAGCAGGTTATCCATCACAACAGATAATCAACCCTCTTCCTTGAAAAACATCCATCCTTCCTGGAGGGAAAAAATACAACTTTACATACGCCTGATTCTGAGTACACACGTTACTCATAGTCCCAGTGAGCAGAGTAGAAACATATTCGCATCTTCTTTTAGGTGGACATCTTTCATAAATTCTTTTTTGTACAGAGAAAAGGCAACAGTATCCTTACTTACACAGGTTTGAAGTACATACAGTAATAAAATTTGTACAAAAGACAGCAGCTGATACGTTCATTTTGATACAGTACTATTCAGATGACACTGAAGGAATTCCCTGTTCTTGGTCCTGTCGAAATGCACGAAACAGCTGTGTTCCCAAACAAACACGCATTGCGTCTGTATATCACTGAAGCTCAGTGGCTCTCGAGAGCGTGACGGAAAACGAGTGGTGGCTCAGATTGGCAGATTGCGCCAGGTGCCGTTTTCACATAGTCTTTTGGATCAGATCTGGCGACCTGAATCTTCCATGCTGCAACTCTACATTCAGCTCAAAATGTGTGCTGCGTTGTTGCGCCACATTTATTTTCACAAGCTTGTTAAGGACTCCATTCGTTCAGAGCATTTCATTCGCCTTTGGTACTTGACTTTATGGAGGTAAATGTGGCTGCATAAGGAACAATTCAAAGTACTTCAAACTTTTGCTTAAAATGACTGAATTAGAACAGCCTCTCACATTTAATATATTCAGTGTTTTTACATAGTTGAATGTATTAGCTGTGTTCCTGTAGCTCAACTGCTCTGTGGTTTGTTTCCCAAGGAACACACTGACAAACAGGCTGAATGCATTTTAAGTCACTTTTTAAAAAGCATCCGATTCATTCCTAAAATAACTTGCTTTAAGCTAAAGTTGGGTCAAGTTTTCTCAATTGTGCATATGTGCCTTTAGACTAAGTTCTGGTGATTATGGAGAAAAAAAAATTGTGTCACAACATAATATTTTTCTGCCTTAATTTTTTCCCTCTTTTTTGCTAATGGGCGGCTCATGCCTCAGTCCAGTGCAGTGTTAGGACTAACAAAGTCAGATATTATACAACAGACCAAGACAGAATTATGCTTTTTTCATCTGGACATCCCATCGAGTTACATTTCAGTTTTTCAAAATAAATATACAGCTTAAATATATATTACTCAATTAAACAGTAGCATCATAATCTGAGTTCAGGTTTCGCCACACGTCTATTAAAATGTACAAACAAAGAAACAAACGTTGAATGCTTGTGCTCTGGTTCAGTAAATCTCAATTTGGACACGCAAAGTAGACGCATTTTGAAAAAAAAAAAAAAAGTCTGTCTTTTAACAAAACAGGGATCTCACTCGCAACACAACCTATCAAAACAAACTAGAAAAAGGAGCCTTGTTCCACTGTGGTGAAGCTCAGCCCTGGGGAGCTCAGATGCTGAGGTCTGCGTGGTTCTCCTTGTAAAGCCGTCTCTTGCTCGGAGAGCTCTGAACGAGGCCGAGGCCCACGCCGCTCCCGTTCGCACCGCTGGCTTTCAGTGCGTTGTAATAATCCCTAAGCTGTGGAGCAGCGCCCTCTTCCAAGTAACTTCCGTCACTGCTGCTGTCCGATCTCCTGTGGAAGCATCTTTCCGGGGCTCCGTTGACGAAGTATCCCTGTCTCTCAGCTTGACTGGCCGGAGAACTGTTGAGCAGAACGTTCCTGTTCTTTAGGCCACGTTCAGGTGTGCGAGCGAGAGCGTGAGCCGTGGGTTTGTGGGATCGCTCAGGGGTGGATGTGAAGTAGCCCTCTTTGCTGTAGTTCCTGCGGGGAGTTTGGGGCTCTTTCTGGGGCCGGACAAGCCTTTCTGGAGTGGAGATTTGGCACAGCAGGTCCTGGGAAGAGTCTTGATAGCTTCGCTCAGGGGACTGATCTTTATATGAGCGTGTTGTTCGCCGGTCCACAGACTTGGCCCTGCGGCGGTCTGGAGAGGTGTTGCGCTTCCGGGTGGAGGAGCGATCCAAGGACCCGCTGCGCACCTGAGACCCCGCGCTACTCTGTGTGTCTACGGAGGGTTTGCGGCCTCGCCTCAGGAGGTCCTGGTTGGAGTTTTTCCTCCCAAATCCGCCCTCTTTCCTCAGCGTTTTGAAGAGCTTGGCAATGCTGCTCTCCGACTCTGACTTCTTGACCTTGCGGTGGGAGTTGTTTTTGCTGCTGTCAGGGGATGGCGAGGGGCTGGGACGGTTGTTCCAGGAAGGCTGGTGTGGAGCGCTGGAATACAGCCCTGTTCTGCTGTCCCTCTCTCGTTCTCTTGCCGGATCATGTTGCCTGTCTTTCGGTTGCTGCTGCTTGGGCTGGGATGGTGTGTGATGCTCTGATGTATAGCTGGACTCGGACGGATGATGAAAGGGGCCGCTGGCCAGCAAGGCCCTCACTTTCGAATTATTTTGTGGCCTGGGTGAGGGAGGGTAGCTGTCATTTGGGCCGTCTGGAAATGAATAAAGAAAGGCATTACGTTTGGCCACTGAAAACACTCGGCTGTTAACAGTTAAAGACATCACACAAAACTTGAACAAACAGACAGCACTTGATGTGATTGAGCATAAAAGCAAACATTTCATTCAACAACATCTATACACAAGCAGGTAAAGGTTTGGACACACCTACTTATGTTTTATTCAATCAAGTCATCGAAACGAATAAACTACACAAGTGGAAACTGACCAAGAAAACGCAAAACTATATTGTATTTATTTGGGTTTCTACAAAGTTCTGTACCCAGCTTTGCCCTAGATCAGGGGTAGGCAAGTTCGGTCCTAGAGAGCCGCAGTCCTGCAGAGTTCAGCTCCAACCCTGAAAACAAAACTCACCTGCCTATAGCCTTAGTAATCCTGAAGACATTGATTAGCTTGTTCAGGTGTGTTTGATTAGGGTTGGAGCTGAACTCTGCAGGACTGCGGCTCTCTAGGACCGAACTTGCCTACCCCTGATCTAGGGCAAAGCTCTGATTTGTTTCATCTGACCGGGCAGCTGTGGTCACCACCATGAGAACGGCAGAAATCTGTACTGCTTAAGCATGTCATTTACAGACACGGGTGAGATGCAAAATCAGTGCTCCCCAAAAATAGGAGTGGATCGAAAATTGTAGCAAATTGTCAAATATATCATTTGGAGGCATCAACAATGGATAGTATGCTTCTTGCTTCTGGCAACACAGGGTCAAACACCTTTTGGTGTTTCTCATATGTAATCATATTATACTACAGTTCGGTGGACAAACAGTTTTAGAAAACATCTGTAAAATGAGATTTACAGATGCTTAACATCAAGACCAAGCACACAATTCAGCACACCAATTCTACTGGTTGCTCTCAGGGTAACTCTTCCTAAATGCAAGGGTGATCAGGGTGACTAAAGCTTTCCCCACTAAGAAAGGCACTGCAGTACTGGCTCATTCCCAGATGGGGAACTCCACTCACTATCGATTCCTGAACGGTCAGGATGCATGGAAACCACCTCCAGAGAGGAGATACAGTATATCATAGGTCTAGAACCCAGGTCAGAAAGATGCAGTTTTATTAGTTTCTCTTCAGCTGTAGAATTCTTAGGCAAGAATAGATGGTCATTGTAAATCTGTGCATACTGTACTCCTAAATCCTATGGATGCAGTCATGGGCAAGAACCTTGTCTTTTAGTGCCTTGGGGGCCATGCTTATGATGAAGAGACGGTGAGTGGGGGCTAACGGGTAGTTTAGACCAGTGTTTCCCAACCTTTTTTTAGTCGCGGCACCCTTTGGAAATTTTAACAAACTTGTGGCACCCTACAAAATTTATTTTGTCACAATATTTGAATTTCTAACTTCGATATGATAATTTGAAAAGTATAGATATTCGGTACAACAGGGAAGAACTGCAGAATATAATGTCATACAGATATTTTTAATATTATTAAAAAATGTTGTCCATCAGTGGTGGCAATCAGTAGGCTAATTTCTAATGAAGAGACCAATTTATATGACAGATTTTAATGTAGGCTTTTATACATATGTAAACATTATTTAATTACCATTATAACTAGCTATCTCACAAATTTTTGCTCACTCAGTGTTTTTTTTATTTTACAGTGGGGTAATTTTGGTGCAGTAGCACGAGATCGCTTGATTTCAAACTTTGAATTGAATAAAAAATGACAAGTAAGCAGTCAGTAATAGAATAAGAACAAATAAAGAAATTAATAATGATAGCACAAATAAAAAATAACGACAGGCCTTCGAATTAAATAAATTGCTTTTTAGTTTTTCATGTAGGTCTAACAGTAGGGTTTTTTTTGTGTTTTTTTTTACCAATTATCCAAATAATGTTTAGTCCTAGAAAGCTATTATTATCAGAACACGTGAGCATAACATAGCGGTTAGCAGATCATTGAATGAGAGGGCAGCGTTACCAGAGTTGCCCATTTACCACACCTTGTTACAGCACAGTAGGGCTATTGCAGACAGAAACAATACTGTACTACATCGATGTTTCCTGTCAGCTTGATTTTTGAGTGGACTTTGCTGTTCCGATGAGCATGAACGGTATATGAGTGTGACTGAGCGGAGCGCACACGCATAGAGCAGGATAATACGCAGAGTGTCACACCACGTGAAAGTGAATCCTGAGCGGTGAACTAATTTTCGGCAGCCGAAATTTCGGTGCATCTATAATTATTGGCGACATCAGAAATGGATATTATATAATAGATGCTTTTTTGAAAATTTTAGCAATTTAAAAATATTTAAAAAATTATTTTTTACACGGCACCCCTGCTCTCGACAGACGGCACCCCGGTTGGGAAACACTGGTTTAGACCAACTATAATTCTTGCCACCCGTGGTCTCTATGGCAGCTGTTTAGTTCTGTAAGAGAGTCAAAATATATGCATTTTAACACAGCTTTTAAAACGGATTTCCTGAACAGCTTTATTTTCTTGAATATGCAACTCTGTTTTTTGTGTTTTCATGGAGTTCAAGAAGTTTGCAAAGAGATTCAAGCCTTTTCATAGCGAGGACACGGCATGGCAACAGCCAGCAGCAGACCTCACTCGATTTCCAACCTCCAGACTCTCAGAAGGACAGACTGTCAGGACTTCCCAGCTGGGTGACGACATTCTGAGCTTCAAACGTCACCGTTATAGACACATGTGTAGAGACTGATGGACTTGAACTGGTTGCATCCTATGAGGATGAGCAGTGCTGGGGTGCCCAGGTTCGAGAAGCACTGCTTTAGAGCATACTATGCCATTATGTTGAGACAAGAAAGATATGCCAAGGACAAATGGACAACAGTGTTAATGTTAGTCAGGGTAACAACAAGATGGGGTGGTAAGGAAAATGTCTTCACAATGAACCTTACCAAATTACAGGGTTAAAGACACGTCCTTGCAGATGTGTTTTTAAGACACCTGATTACTCCTTGAAACTGCTTTTCACGACCAGCGTATGCAATACAGTTATTGTGCTCATCCACATTATGGTTCATGCTATTTACCTACATAAACAGTACAGAAACTATCAGTTGGCTGCTAATGTCAAATCTAAAGAGAATTCGGTAAAACTTTAGTATAGGGACCAATTCTCGCTATTAACTAGTTGTTTATTAGCATGCCTATAATTAACATATTGGCTGTTTATTAGTACTTATAAAGCACATATTCTGCATGACCATATTCTACATCCCTAATCCTACCCAAAACCTAAAATTAACAACTACCTTACTAACTATTGATAAGCAGCAATTTAGGAGTTTATTGAGGCAAAAGTTGTTCATGGTTTGTTAATAGCGAGAACTGGACCTTAAAATAAAGTGACCGAAAACTCCTCCTGGTCCATTGAACACAGGCATTTTTTCTTCCAATTATTTTACTTTATTTAAAGGTTAGATTTTTGAAAGAAGGATAAATACCACAGACATTTTTTATGGCCTGTTTTGCTTATATTCATCAAGGGTACTAATATCTGTGGAGGACACTGTTTGTCATTACTACAACACTTTTTCAAGTTGTACCTTTTTATCACAAGACCAGAATACAAAAGCAAACTAATTTCATTACTTGCTCATGGGTGAATCTAACAAAACTTGTTCTATGGGTAATAACAAAAAAGATACTTTTTTAATTTTTCTTATCGTTTTTATAATGCCATCTATATTTTTGTGACCCATGCAAGTTCTTGTAACATTCACCGATCTATGCTATCAGTAATATGAAAGCACTGCAGTTTCCACAACATCCACACACTGTCCATCACACAGGCATCAGAGCATTCCATCAGGAGCATGAATCCATTGAGCATGCGATCAGAGTGTGATGAGAGCGGGTGAAGCAGCGACACACGTGTGCCTAAGCGGGGCTTATAACGTGTGACTGGGTGACAGGAAGGGTTGACACACAGAACGTCCTTTACAAACCGTGGCTTGGTTTTGACCCATTAGGTAGAAGCAGGGCTCGCCCAGCTTATCATTCCTCAGACAGGCAGCGAGATGGGGGCCCATCATAGCTGAGGAGCCCACCAGAGAACAAGAGATCAGGAAGAGAAAGAAACACAGATAAATAAAGAGAAAGGAAACATGCAGCACTCTGACAAATCACAACAGTTTTATTGGCTGACTGAAGACTGTTCAGAAGATCTCACTCTCTAGATGAACACATAACAGAGGCTGATTGATCACCAAGAAGTAACAATTTTGTGGTAGAGAACAAGAAGAAAAGACAGTTCAGGATAGATTAAAACACAAAGACCGAACGCTTCGAAACAAAATGCAAAAAGCATAAGACTTTAACTTGTTAGTTACCCACCATACTCTGGGACGGATCCGTCTCCTCTCTTCAGCACCAGTCGAGCTTGTCTGCCTCCGGTCTTGATCAGCTCGATAGCGCGAGAATGCTTCATATTTTTCGTACTTTCACCATTGATCTCCAGTATTTCATCACCAACCTGTAAACGAGGTGGACACCACCATTAGCTTATGGGAGGCTCAAGAGGGCATCATGAGCGGCGGCTGAGGAACAAAACTGGGTGCTTCTCACAAATCAAAATGCTATCTGTTAACAGCTGAAAACATGCACTTGTATTACTGGTTAACGAATCTTGACCGATACTGAATTTGGTAAAGTGTAAAAAAACAGTTACAGTGCCGTGAAAAGGTTTTTGCCCCCAAAAGGCAAAAGGTTTTTTTTTTTTTGCATATTTGTCACTCTTAAAATATTCAGATCATCAAACAAATTTTTATATTACACAAAGATAATGCAAGTAAATACAAAATGCAGTTTTTAAATGATGATTTCATTTATTAAGGGAAAAAAGCTGAAAAAGTAATTGCTAAATCTGTTACAATGACCTGTTAAATCATGAAAGAACTGTGATTAACCTCATTATTTTAGAAAGCGGAGTTAAATTTCACTAGCCACACGCAGGTCTGATTACTGCCAGACCTGTTGAATCAAGAAATCACTTGAATAGAACCTGTCTGACAAAGTGAAGCATGCTTAAACAGCAACGGCCGTCTGTTTGTGACCTCAAGCTCAAGCGCACTTGGTTTATGCAGCAGGACAATGATCCAAAACACACCAGCAAGTCCACCTTTGAATGGCTCAAGAAAAACAAAATTAAGGTTTTGGAATGGCCAAGTCCAAGTCCAGACTTAAATCCGATTGAGATGCTGTGGCATGGCCTTAAACAGTCCATTCATGCTCAAAAACTCTCCAATGTGGCTGAATGAAAACAATTCTGCAAAGAAGAGTGGGCCAAAATTCCTGTGAAAGACTCATTGCCATTTATCGCAAACACTTGATTGCTGTTGTTGCTGCAAAGGGTGGCACAACCAGTTATTAGATTTAGGGGGCAATTACTTTTTCACGTAGTGCCAGGCAGGTTTGGACAGCTTTTTTCCCTTAATGAATGAAATCATTATCTCAAAACTGCATTTTATATTTACTCGGGTTATCTTTGTGTAATATTAAAATTTGTTTGATGATCTGAATCTTTTAGGTGTGACAAATATGCAAAAAAAAAAAAAAACAGGAAGGGGGCAAAAACCTTTTCACGGCACTGTAGCTCCTACGGATGTAACGATATCAAAATCTAACGATACGATATTATTGCGATATGAAGTCCACAATACGATATTTATTGCGATATTTAAAAAGAAAAAAATACAAATGAAGAATTGGGAAAAAATTTAAAATTTGTACATTTTAAAGTTAAATTATTCTATCTAGTGCACTTTGGGACTTCAAAATTAAGAGCTCCAACTCATCTTTCTTAACTAAGAAAAGTTAAGTCAGAAAGAAGTCAGTGAATTGACTTGTAGCTGAACTTTAAAGGCGACTCAACCCTCTTTTTGTTTGTGATATACTGTCTCAGTCTAAATTACATTCACACTGGGGTTTTAGGAAGCCAAACAAATTAGAATATGATAACAATGACAGTAATGGCCACATACTGTAAAACAATTGCACTGTAAAATAAATGAAAATGAATATTTCATAGGTATATTATTTTTGCTTTACACTACAGTAGGGAAATTACAATACTTCTTTCCTAATTTCTACACTTGAAAGAGATATTTTGAATCTGGACTGCGTTTAAACCGCTAGCTGTCAGCAATTCATATACTGCACTTTAACGCTTTTATTTTGAAGGAAACAGCAGTAGAGCTTTTATTTTGAAGGAAACTCCAGCTCAGTGAAAACAGCTTACAAAAACAAAAAAGCGTCTCACTACAAATCTAGTGAAATGCTGTAATCATCTGCCATGAAAATAAAGCATAACTGGTGTCTGTTGCGTTCCAAAGTGCGCGCTAAACTCACAGCACATGCAATAAAGGAGTTGACTGCATTCATTCAGTGTGAACAGAGCCGTTCTGAGACGCAGAAAACACCGGATCGCGAGCTGATCGTCTGAACCAAGTGTGTGCTTCACTTTGAAACACGCAGCAAAAACAGACTTGATGAAGGGATTAAGCATATTGTGCTTTCGGTGTGACAGATACTGTGTGATACTGTGTTTGACAGATACTGTGCTAAAGCATAATGGCCCAAAGCAAATATATTTTAAAAACTTTTAGTTTCCCGGAAGACCTATCGTTTCACATCGTTATGTGACCACGATAATATTGAGACAGTTTTGATATCGCAATATTGCTAATATCGTTACATCCCTATTAGCTACTGTTCGTAGTAGAATGCTAATCTCGGTTTAGAGATGGACACGGAAACTGAAAGAGAAATTAAGCAGTAATGACATACACACAGGCTTCTAATGCCAAAGTTGTAGGTAACCGTCAATTTTGTCCCAACACACCAAGCAAAAATCAAGCTGCCAAAATGAGCAGCTGGTGTATGCATCTGAACATTAAGGGTCTGCAGTTTTAAAGAGGACCGGACAGTTTTCGACATAGCAGCATGAAACTGTCTCTGGTCGGCTGTGGAAAGAGCAAGTGAGGAAGACAAAAGAGGCTCTCTCAGTGGACCAAAGGCTTTGGTTAATAAGACATTCATCAATGGCCTAAATAGACTGATAGTCCTCATAGTCTGCAGTTGCTAGTCATTACTAAAGACAATGCTCATTTCAATCACAACATCTGCTGATCTAGAAATAATCTGTTATACTTCACGTCTCATTTTAACAGTTTAAGCAGCTGATATATGACTGTTTTGCTTCGAGAACTGCAGTGTGTGTGAAGTTTAGGTGCTGTCCTCCAGGAGCAGGCCAACAGACTTTCAGTTGTAACCATCAGCCTAACAGGCTGGGTTACAAAGTTCAAAATGGGGTCAGATTTTACTGAAGTGGGTGTGTCAGATATAGGGAGACATACAAAACGTGCAGTGCTGGGGGTACTTCATGGAGAGGTTTGAGAACAACTGCATTAATAGAATGACATAAAACAGAAATAAGTTTTAGAACGGTGCATTTACAAAGTTCACGGGACTTTAAAACAACACAATAAAACCAGGAAAACTCAGTCTGTTAAAAGCATACAGTTCTCTGCACCATACCCTAAAAACAGTCCAAGAATCCTAGAGTGCTGAAAAAGTCCCAAAGTGAGTCCACCAGTGTATATGCAATCCAAAATGAGTGATAATCCACTAGCTTGCAAGTAAATCTGGAAAGGTAAGTCCACGGAAAGGAAACTCCACAATCCAGGTGTGTTTGGTAGCTGTTAGTGGCCACTTTGTTTGGCATGCTGCTCTCTTTATACAGTTCCTGCTTCCTGTCACATGACAGGCCAAGCATACAATTTTTAAAGACATATACACGTTAAAATGTTAAGAAAAATAAAATGGATTTAAGAAAACATGTAAACCAGTTAAAACTCTATTATACATAAAATCATTGCGGTAAAACCTGTCTCTTATGTGACAATGTCACATAGTCATTCTGCCGTATATATTTTATGCCCCTTTCTTTATTTTGTATCAATGTATCGAAATAAAAGCTTTTGTTCTGTACAAAGAAAAAATGTGGACTTTTGTTTCATTTAAGAAAAACGTATGCTTGTCTTCAGAAGCTATTGTTCGGAAGAAAAACTCATTTTACTCTTACCCTCATCTTGGCGTTTTTGACAGCGGCTCCATCCTCCGCTAATCGCAGCACATACAGATCCATGTTGTACTCCTTACCGCCTCTCAGACTGAAGCCGAAACCTTTACTCTCCCTCTCCAGATCAACCGAGTAATACTCTGCCTCCTAAACACACAAATACAACCAAATCACTAAACAAACCTGGCAACTAGTTCATTTTACAGTCCGTGCACTTACCCAACAGACTACTGAGTAATATAAGCTAACTACTTGGGTCAGGGGTAAGTTTAGGGGCAGGTTCAGGGCTATTACCTAGTTATTATGTATTAAAGGGGTCATATGATGCGATTTCAAGTTTTCCTTTCTCTTTGGAGTGTTACAAGCTGTTGGTGCATAAAGAAAATCTGTAAAGTTGCAAAGACTAAAGTCTCAAATCCAAAGAGATATTCTTTATAAAAGTTAAGAGTCAGCCACGCCTACCTAAAACGGCTCGTTCTAACACGCCCCCACATATCGTCACTATGTGGAAATATTAGCATAATGCCGCCCAAATGTGCACGCAAAGAAAGCATATGTACAGGCAAAACAGGACTTTTTGAGAGAGGTGTAAAAACATTTTGGTAACACTTTACTTGAAGGGGTGTGCATAAGACTGACATGACACCTTCATAATCA